TTTCTATTTGTTGGTCACAGCATTCACTAATTTGGATTGGATTAAGTCAAGATTTTTTTTGACATTATTGGTGATGACTTCAATCTCATAAGCTGAAAAATTGTGCATTCTTTTTCTTTCTTTCATTTGGCTTCCACTTCCAAGTGCACTCTCCCTTTCCACCATTTTTTCCCCTCCAATTTTTTTTCGCACATAGCCGCGTAGCTCTTAACAACCAGTTTGACTGGTTTAATCTCAGCTTAATCATGGGATAGTTAATAAAGGGATAAATCTGCTTTCAGGAACGTTATTTTAAACCTAGATTAGCTATCCTTGAGATAAGAAATTTAATCATTGATTAACCTCTGATCAAGGGATAATTTAATTGGCTTTTGAACAACGGGGCATGAACTCTTAGAATAGAAAGCAGTATAGAGGAAACGTATACTGATATTGGGGTGTAAAGGGTTAAAAAGGTTTCCTTGATTTCTTTTTGTTTTCACATGAAATGATGCGAGGACATTAAGGCATACCCAGTGTTACATTATGCATTACCTAAGTATCTACAACTTGAGAAAGTCCAGAGGAGAGCTCTCTTGTGCATTTTCCCAAAGATATCACATGCAAATGCCCTTCAGCTTGCCAGAATAGACAACCCACAGGATCATTTAAAAAACTGACTTTGCCACTCTTTCAGTCAACAGCTAACAACACATCTAGCAAGATCCATTACCTAATTCCACCCTCAAACAAGTCACCATATAACCTCAGACAGAAACAGGAATATCAACAGCCATCCACCGAAACAAAGAGAGTGGCTGACTCGTTCATTTATAAGTGTATAATTAAACAATTCAATGAATTTTTATACTTTTTTATACCTGGGATAAATTAATAGTTAAGTTTTTTGTGTTTTATATGATTTTTCCCCACAATTTGGTGTTAATTCATGCAATTCAGTTGTAAGACTGCAAGGTGATGTTAATAAAACGAGATTGATCAATAATGCCAATGTTTTTTGTTAAATTCTACTGTTTATGTAATGATTGCATCAAATTAAACCTTAACTATAGTTGGGATACTCAATCATTCTCTCTTTCTCAACACTACAAGGAAACAGTAACCACAACATTGTTATCGTTTGTGATGTCACTGAGTATCAAAATGTTCTCTGGATTGTGCAAAGATTAAGTAACTTTAAACAAATTAATTTTCACAAATAAACTTTCAGCCATTGTGGGAATAAAAAATTGTCCCCTTATTTCTACAATTTATATTTTTTCAAACAGGGCTTTAACACTGGTAATGGAAACATACATACACCGTGGATTCATATTTACAGGTGTTCATGTGCTCTTGGCTAGCTTGAGTGCTATTATGGGTGGGTTGCTTGTCAGAAGTTAAACTATAACATAAATTTTCAAAAATTACTTTTAATGTAATGATATTATTAAAAGGGCAAATTTACTGTCACAGACGAACTAAATTTACAAAATCATTTACATATAACATGTTGGCAGCCAAGAATCTCACTAGAATTAGTCCAAAATTTTAGAAAAGCTTGACCTTTTGAATGATTGGTTGAGTGTCAGTATGAGTCTTCTAAGTGAGAATATCAAAGAGTTTCCTTTTAATTTCCTTTTTTCCACTTAATTTTTTGAAGAATTTCTTACACATTGAACCTCATGATATTCAGGGACACAAATGAGAGATTGTGGCACAAGCTATACCATTATTATGGCATACTGTTTTGGTTACCATTTCTTTGCAATGTTGAAAACGAGGGAACGATTTTATGGATCACAAACACTTTTTGGTTTATTGTTCCTCTACAAACAATACTAATTACAGTTGAAATTTTGTGTATGCTACGCTATGTAACATTTCATAATGTTGCTTAATGCAGCATGTATTTAGACTGTTTACTCAGTAATACCACTGGCAAAGCAGAACTTATATTTCATCACACCACACATTGTGCAGCTTCACCGTTGGGAAGTAATTCTACAGCATTGTGGCAAATGTAAGTTTTGTATTGGGTAGTTTTCATCATTATTTCCATTGTAATTTTCCTAAGCATGTTTGGTGTTAAGTATATTTATCACATAAACTGCGATGTTATACAGGGATTTCCGGCCCTGAGAAAAGCCGTAACAACACACGTGAAAAAATATGTTGATATAGCCAATCAGCCGCTGACACATCATTCACCTTTGGCGCCTCTTGTTCAGGTTGATGAAGGAACGGTAAAGCCTTCATGATTCTCAATACAAGGTAGTTTGTCAGAACCTTCTTGAATTATGCCCGCTAAAACATGAAAAAATCTGTATCACTGGAAGACAGTGAGATTCCAATTTTTTTTTAGAAGGGGAAGAAAACCAAAATACCTAAAGAAAAACCGAAAGTTATGTATTCAGTGGCTTTGGTGTTGGCATTTTTCTCGGCTGAGAATGAAAATTGAAAACTTGAAGATTTGCCACTGGCCGATTTTGGCCATTTACCTGAAAGACTTCTTCTGTCAGTAAGGACAAAGTCATTAAATGATAATTTTGTAAATTGAAAATTACAACCATTGTTGTTTTTGTAATCATGACTCAACACATTTTTCCATCTAAAGATTTAGTGCCAACACACTCTACAATCCCTGTTATTCAGGGATTGCCAATTCATCTATTTTCATTCATTAATGAAGTCGGCTTTTCTTCTCAGTAAAGGGCTATTGTGTTCATATGATAAACAAAATAATACATGGTTGCCTGTAGATGTAGAATTTCTCTTCTTGTGTTCAACTTGACATCTCACTTGTACGCCAGTGATTTACACACTTGCAGAGAAATTCCATATGTACTCGTGCCCATGCATTATTCTCTATTTAGCTTACTTTACATTGTAACAAGTTTTCCCTCACTATTTTGTTTGTAGTTTTAACTGATCCGATCGATGGCAACTTGTGTGAGCAATTGTGGAGATTAAATATATTGTCAAGTCACATTAAAAACTGTCTAAGTGATTTGCTGAGAGTTAGTCACCCATAGCAGCCACAGATTTTATATTCCAAAAAAAAGGCTAAAAGTTCATCTAATGCAATCTGCACAAACAGGACAACTTTTTGATACTCAGTGAAATCAGAAATGATAAACTGTGACACATTTGCAGTACCACTGTTATGGTTACTGTTCACTGAGCTACCCCCTCTTGGGTTTGCCCAGTTTAAAATTCAGTTGTTTCTCAGTCTATGAAATGGTATTCCCACAGGACATTTGCTATGTTGTACAATTTCATTGGCTTAAATATGATCCCTTGGGATATGCAACTTATATGTTGTGACGTCATTGGTTTCAACTGGAAATGACAAAAATGCTTCACCATTGCATGTGTTTTTGACCGTTAATTCTTTGCAGCTGATTTCTCTGCCCTGTTTTGTGGGAGAGTCTTCTTAAGGGCATAAAATCAATACATATATTTCAAGTTTGCATGTTGAAGTTATCACCGCTTTCAAAGTTTTTACATGGCAGATGGAGGAAAAAGTTGTGGTGTTTGTGCTTTTCTGAACAAAAAGCATTGTCAACACCTCCAGTACAAGCCAATTTCATACAACAGTCATCACCATGTTCAAGTTATGGGCCACTTACAGCAGGAAGTATCGCATCAATTTCTGTTCACAATTAAGACCAATTGCCTATTGTGGGCTGCAGGGCTTTGGCATACATTTCAGCCCCAACAATTTGGAATGCAAAGCCCCTTGTGACAGCAATTAAATGCATCTGTCAATGGTGACAGTATCAGTGAGGCCCATTGCCTATTGTGGGCTGCATGGCTTTGGGATACATTTCAGCCCAAACAATTTGGAATGCAAAGCCTGTTGTTACAGTGATTAAATGAATCTGTTGAAGGTGACAGTATCAGTGAGACCCATTGCCTATTGTGGGCTGCATGGCTTTGGGATACATTTCAGCCCAAACAATTTGGAATGCAAAGCCTGTTGTAACAGTGATTAAATGAATCTGTCGATGGCGACAGTATCAGTGCGAACCATTGCCTATTGTGGGATTTGTGGCTTTGGGATACATTTCAGCCCAAACAATTTGGAATGCAAAGCCCGTTGTTGCAGCAATTCAATGAATCTGTCAATGGTGATGGTATCAGTGAGACCCATTGCCTATTGTGGGCTACATGGCTTTGGGATACATTTCAGCCCAAACAATTTGGAATGCAAAGCCTGTTGTAACAGCAATTAAATGAATCTGTCGATGGCGACAGTATCAGTGAGAACCATTGCCTATTGTGGGCTGCATGGCTTTGGGATACATTTCAGCCCAAACAATTTTGAATGCAAAGCCTGTTGTAACAGCGATTAAATGAATCTGTTGATGGCGACAGTATCAGTGAGAACCATTGCCTATTGTGTGCTCTGTGGCTTTGGGATACATTTCAGCCCAAACAATTTGGAATGCAAAGCCTGTTGTTGCAGCAATTCAATGAATCTGTCAATGGTGACAGTATCAGTGTGACCTGTTACCTATTGTGGGCTGTATGGCTTTGGAACACATTTTACCCCAAACAATGTGAAACACAAAGTCCATTGTGGCGGCAATTAAATTAATCTTTTGGTTGCCACAACATCACTGAGCCTTGACAGTTGGGTCATATTAAAAATTTTGCTTTACAGCATACTTTCCCTGTACCACAACCCTCTGTTCGTCATGCATCTTCAAAAGCTGTGGTAAGCATTAAAAGTATGTGCAACTACAGATTGACTGTAAGAAGTATTACGCGAGGACCAAAAGGTAAACGATCGAGAAATCGTAAATCTTCTAGGATACAAGTTAAGAAAATTATGTAAAAGCTGCAGAGAAGAAAGCTTCACTAACACTTAAATTACTTTTTCACCAGTTTAGAACATTGATTTACTCAAAAAGTGCTGTTTACAACTTCTGCCCAAACAAAAAACAAGTGGTCTCATTGAATATGTTATGCATAGAGTTCTAAAGCCGTTACGTCACGTTACCATGGGAGCAGAATTTTCTGTTCTAAACAAACGTGCTCAGAGCCAAAATGGCGTCGCTTTCAATCGCTGCACTGATATCTTTCTTCGCTGAAGAAAAGAAGTCAATCGAACGAGGAGAAAATCATTACAGATCTGAACACATTGAGTCATTTTCTTACCATCAGGGTATTTTACGCGGTGAGGTTCAAGCAAGTATGAAGAAAAAGGTCTATCGAGTCACGGTGAGTTTAGAGCCACCAATCGCATTAAGAAGCCTAAGGAATATTTTTAAATATCTTTTAAGTACCTTCTTGTTATCTACTCCCCCAATTTAGAAATATATATTTTCAATCTTGTCGATTTCCCTCATCAAAAAAGCCAGGCTGAGGCTTAAATCGTACAGATTATGATTCATATGAAATAGTGTTACCAAGACATTTATGAGTTCACCTTGTTTGAACTTTTATCTTAATTACCACTTAGATTTACCTGGATGACCACTTCAACATAAAATCCACGGAGTGTGAATGTCCAAAGGGAAAATTCAAATGCAGTCACGCGGCGGCTCTTTTTATAAATGGGATTCACAACTTAAGCCGCACAGATATTGAATGTCAGTGGAGGAAAAAGAAGTCTAATACCTCCCTGTCTTTACAGGCAGTCGAAGAACTGTTCCCTCTGCCAAAGAATTATGTGGCGATTACTCGATCTCCCAACACAGAAGATCGTCAGGCACTATATGGAAGCTTAAAGGCATATGGGAGGTTCACTGGTCTTTGCTGGCTCATGTGCCCAGAGCCTGCTCCCCAAGCCAAATTGCCTGTGCCAACAATTGAGGAAATCATCTACTCAGAGGAGTTTATCCAAACAAGAGGTACACAGCAACAATTGGACTGTTTGGTTCAGAAAGCCAAACTCACAGAAGCAGATATCCTGTTAGTCAGTCAGATAACTGTAGGCCAACGAGACAACCCAACCTGGCATCTTGCAAGGAGGGGATGGCTTACAGCAAGCAATTTTGGATCCGTTCTGCATGCCAAAAGAGTGACCCCTTCACTTCTCAAACGGCTCCTTGGAGAGTATGACATATCAAGAGTTAAGGCAGTACAATGGGGGGTAAACAACGAGGCAGAAGCGATTAAGGCATTTACCAATTTAACTGCAAAAACTGTACAGGAAACTGGGTTATGGCTGGATGGCTCTGGGATTCTTGGTGCTTCCCCAGATGGAATTGTGGATGAAGACTCTGTTTTGGAGGTCAAGTGTCCCTACACCGAAAGGAATATGACAATGGAAGAGGCAGTGAATATCTCCCCCAATTTCTGCTTGAAAAAAACTGAAAGTGGTCAGTATGCTTTAAAGGAAGAACATGTCTACTGGCATCAGGTCCAAGGGGAGATACATTTTGCTCAAAGGAAGCTTTGCTATTTTGTTGTGTGGACATCTAAAGATGTAGTTGTTTTGAAAATAGCAAAGGATGAAGGCTGGAGTGGAAACATTTCTAAGCTTACTCAGTTTTATTTTGAACACCTCTTCCCAAAGGTTGTAGAGGGACAATTATAGGTTTCCAGATCTATTACTGCATGTAATTATTTTTTAAGAAATAATAATTTTCAGGAATCATTAGGAGCCCTTTGGTGTTTAGTCTTCACTGATGGCATGTTGTTGTGGAATTTCTTGAGATAGGGAGGCTTTTCAGATGGAGGGTATTGGGAGCTCAGGTGTACTTTTAAGTTCACTCTAGTAACTTTAGGAACACAGATCTTCAAATCCCAACAGGGCTCTCCTGGTTTACTCAAACTAACTTTAGAAACAGTTACAGTTTTTGCACTTCATTGTTTCACAGTTGAGCTGTACTGCTCTGTTGTAGTGAACTGTTGTTGGGCTGAAATTATACATGCATCCATAAATTCAACAATGATAGCAGATTTACTTTTTGAATAAAACAAACAGATCAACATGTATTTTACAAAGTATTCAATTTTCCTTATATGAAAAATAATTAGTTCATTAATCAAATTCATATCCTTCACAGCCCTCTTTGATCAGTGGAAACTGCAGATTAACAAGTGAAGCACAGAGTTGAAATATTATATCTGCATGACAACGTAAATATGAGGGAATAAAAGATAAAATCTTGAAATCTTTGAGCCTAGCATTTGCCCTCTCAACATGAATTCTGCATTTTGCTATAACTTTTGTTGCCCTTGCTTCACTCTCAGTGAATGTACCATTGTTTAAAAAAGGTGGTATATTTACTGAAACACCATTTGGTACAAGATCCTGTATAACAAAACCTTTGTCAGCTAAGACCATATCTCCAGCAGTAAGGTGATTTAAAAATCCTGATTTCTGCACAATTGCTTTGTCAGATATTGACCCTGGATAAAGTTTGCTGACATAAGTAATAACACCATTTGGCGCTACACCCACAATAACCTTGAAGGAATGCATTCCCCTATAATTTGAATACGTAGCATTCTGCTGGCTCATAAGCCCAGGTGTGGCAATCTCTATGTCTGTACAATCTATCACTACTCTACATGAACCAAACTGACTAAAAGATGATGGGGCACACAGCTTGTTCTTATCCCTAGATGGGATGGATGCCATGAGGTCAATAAATAGAATTGAGTGTAAGACATGAATGAAAGTTGTTACAATATTTGCTATTGTAGATACACTGCAATTGAATAACTGTGCAAGGTGAAGATTTGTGTAATTCTGTCTGACTTTCATTAATGTTATAAATATTTGTTCTTCAAAACTGATTGATTGCACTCTCCAGCCAGCAAAGTAATTGATGGATTGTTTAAACCTAGCTGCATAGTTGACAACAATTTGAAAAACTTCCTTTGTTGGCAGCCCAGTTTCCATCTTCAAAACCTCCTCACTCATTTTCGAAACTGTGTAATGTTTTTGCACATAGTAATTTTTTTCTCTTTGATCAATCATTTCCCTTTTTGCCTGCTCCAACTCTGCTTCCAGTATAACTTCTTTTCTTGTTGATTCAAGTCTCTCCACGCTGCCAGAGGTGCCTTGTTCAAGTTCTTCTTTCTTCCTTGCAGCTTCTATCATTTCTTGTAGGGTCTGTTGTGATTCGATTTTTTTCTTTTTTGGCTTTGCTTCTTCTGCTGGGAAAAGTTTGTCTTGGTTCCTCTTGAAAATCTCAGGACCATTACTTTTTTTTCCTTCTCTGAAATGGCAACTACAGACTCTGGAATGTTTTCCTGGCTCTCTGTCTTCTCTCCTATAGCAAAAAGGATAATTTCAGCTTTATAATTCTTTCTGATTACTGTGCTATTAGCGGAGGATTTTTATCTTGCAGCTTCTATCTTATAAAAATTTCTAATTAAGAAGACAGTTCTCTATCTGCCTGTTTTAACACTGCAGGGTGACCATTAAGTATCAACAACCACACCAAAAGCTCTCACAACTGATTTCCGTCATTGAGTCAAATGTTGGCTCGTGGCTTCTAGGGAACCGATTTTGAAGTTGGAGTACAAGAAAAAGGAGTCTAAAAATCAGTAAGATTTATATAAGCTTAATCAGTTTCATAACAAAGATGGCGACTCCACAACCGCAATAAATTGCGTAAGCATACTTTTCTCCTGGACAGAAAAAGTATTGAAATAAAACTCTTACTAACCTCAGTAGGTGAATCCATCTTCTATATTCCTTCAGCTTTTTTTCCTTGCTAGGGAATCCGAAGAAGCTACACGTGTGACTTTCCGAGTGATGGTTGCAATCAGGCGCAAAGCAGTGCACCATTTTAATCGTTTCGATCGCCTTCGTTTCTCAGTTTTAGATTTCTATGACCTACAGCGTTAATAACAATGTAACTGAACCTTATTCTAAGCTTCTTTGAACCGTTCCAAGCGATGATTACACACTTGACCTCAGCAACGCATAGGTTATCAGTAGGACGCGCTCGATTGTTTAGAACAGAAATTTTAGCCCCATGGCAACGTGACGTCACACTTTAGGACTCTATTGAAACATGGATCACATACAAAAAATCATGGCTCAGAAATAGAGAAATAGAGAGTGAGAGCAAAACTCAGTATGACAACTGTGACCAGTCAGATTGGTTCAACAGAAATTGTACATAAAAGCCTGATGCACCAAATGACACATTTCAAGTTCAGCCTATATGGGGATATTGAGAAAAACCCTTGTCCTGGTGCTCAAAGACACTTTATTAATTATTGTTTGACACAACCAGGCAAGTTTTTTGGGGCACTTGACTCTTTTCTTGAACTTGCTTTTGCTATTCTTAAGGATTCTCTACCAGAGATCAATTGCGATGTGTTTTTTTCAAATTATACTAGATGCATGTTTACAGTTAGAAAACTATGATGAACAGACAGATATAGCTATGGTCCAAGAACCTGCTTGGGCTAATTTGAGAGAATGCTGCAACTTGTTTGCTACAATTTCTGCTCATGCTGCATTTAGTGATATATTTACATTGAATGCAGTTGGTGTGATGATAGAAGATTTAAAACATCTTTTTCTTATTCAAGTGACAAATTGAACACTTTGATCTGACTGTAACAACACAGTTGTAAGCAAATCCAGTATATTTGTACTGAAACATAACCTCTTTGCACTTGCTTCAAAATCAATCATTTGAACATTATATTTCTGGGAATATATTATCAAATAGCAGTAGATTGTTTGCAATTTTTGTCAGAAGGATTCTGAAGATGTCTCGATGCTGTAACACTCTGTTTTGCTTCCAATACTTTTAATTGTAGAATTATCATCAAATTGTATTGATGAAATAGTCCACTGCTCCTCCCATGCTCTTCCCATGGTCAAATGAACCGCTCTTGGAAATAAACCCTTCTCATGCAGCTCCTCAAACAAAGTTTGGGCAAACTTGTCACAGATTTAAGCATTTAGGAATTCCACCTCAGACACCAGTTGATTCTTATTTTTTCAAACACATCAGCCCTAATCAAAACAACAAAACAAAGTTCACACATGTTTGAAACCTTTCTTGCCAAGAGATTTAATATCTTGTTTCATGCTCAATTTATGATGAGTAGATTGGGCATACAGTGTGCAGAATTATTTTGTCTTTCCCAAGCTTTTCATTGTGAACTTTCGTTTGATGACAGAAAGTCAAAGAAATATCACTGTTTGCTCCAGAGAAATGACACAATGCGGGTGAGAATCTTCCCACCTGAAATTTCAAAAGAACATTTACATAAATTCAGATGGCAGCGGAAAAGAAGTGCAAAAATGAAGACGAGCCACTACAGTTAAAAGAACTTGACCCTTCATGAGATGACAGATGACATACACGCTATGAATGCAATGCAGTATGGTAGCATTATTACACTTCGAGAAAAAAAGATGGCTGACAGGAGTTAAATTGGGTAAGTTGGAGCATTCATTTCATAAGGAACACATCACCTTTGTTTATCATCTATGATAGTAAATGGTTTTTAGTGATCAAATGTATTTGTTTTTCGAAATAAATTGTCAATTATTGTCCATATGATTGATTTATATGCTGCATAGATGTATGACCCATTTTCACAGTTTCTCTTTGTAATTTGACAAGCCTAGAGTTTTTGGCTCGTAGTTTCTTTAATATTCAATAGAAATATTGAAATAGTGTGTATATAACTCTTCAGAGTTTACTCTATCACGTAGTACAAATGCCTCCCAGTGCTCCCCATGGGAAATGTGTGTTTTCTTCATTTAAAGTTATTGCTTTTTTTGTATTTGTAGTTAGTTGTGATGAAGCATCATCATCTTTGGAGCAAGGAAACACTCTTGGGAAGCCGCCTTCTAAGCAGTTACTTAGAGTAAATTCTAGGAGAAGTCTATTTGGGGACCATCTAAAGAAAGTATATGAAACTAAGGATATTAAAGAGCTGTCATGTAGTTGGTCTATAGAAGAAGTTGCATTGGTACAATATATATGCTTATAGTGGCCCGAAGCATGTCCTGACCAATGGCCAAAGCACAAAGACAACACATTTTGAACGATTGCACATTATCTGTGAATAAGTTGACAAATTCAAATCAAACAGGTAAGCTCAGTGTAGTATGTTACAAAAAACATACAGTCCAGGGAAAAGATCAAATTTTTATTGCAGAAAATAAGAGTGATAGAAAGAAATACAATTATTCTGTGGATGGATTCAGGTTAATTTTTAATTTTTGAAACTATACATCTTTGAAGGATATAACTCACTTTGACAATGTTTTTTTTTTCTTGGAGGGTCATGTAGAACAAGAGTTTAAAAGCACCTAAGCCAAAAATTCCCAACTCTTTCTGATACAGAGGAAGCACTTGATATTGAGTATATAGAAGAGCAGTCAAAACCGTTACTGACTCCACAAGAAAAAAAGCCATGTCAACAGTACTATGGAAGCACTTTGTCACCAATATTTTGTCAATCTCCTGGAGTTCTTGAAAACCCCAGTGTTGGTGAAAGTCTGAATGTGTTTGTGGCACATTTCAAGTTGTCAAGATGCAAGGGAATGAAGGAACAGTTTTTAAATTACCTTTTAAAATTATGGTGGAGATGTATGGTGTAGACTTTTTCAAATTTATTCAAAGGGACTTTGTCAGTGTTAGTCCAGATGGCATGAGAACGCTATTTGAAGTGGGCTAGCACAATACTATCCATGATTTGTGCAAGTGTTTCACAGAGCAACCTGGTAGTAGTGCAAAAACTTTGAGTATGACTAATGCCTTATCACACAGTCTCTGTAATGTATAAATGGGTAAATGTATGACCATTACACTTAGTTACTGGAAATCCTAGTGGTGAGCAAGGTTACAATTGGATAGAGAATCTGACCAGAATGCAGGTTTTGGGTTCAAATTCAATCTCTATTATTCTTCATTATCGGTGAGACTCGATGTATCTCTCATTCCAACTGTTGTTTCCTCAATAAGATCAATCTGACTCTACATGTAGTACTTATGTCATTGGGTTGAAATTTCTTCATATAACAGCAAATAAAGAGGTGAAAACTACTCAGTTGACTTATGTATGGACTAATGTTCCAAGAAACATGGATGTGGAGTATGCTGAGGGAGAATGTACTACTCAAGATTTAGAAGAGTATCACCAAATTACTCCTACTACTGTGCAAAGACAAAAACAGAACCCTGGAATGCATAATCCTTTAAAGGTTTGTATTATTCGCTAAAAATGATGATCAATTGAGCATATCAGAATGGAGTACACATTTATTCATGGCAACCACTTAAAATCTACATGTACCCCTAGCATTGAAACCCACTACTGCAATTTGTATCCCAATAGAGTATTAACAGTATTCCTTTTCTTTAACAGAGCAAAATCAACATTGCCAGCTTGAGTGTTGGGCAAATTCAAAGGCCTATCTCCAATTTTGGATTTACCCGCACAGTTAATGTTCAGGTAATTAAATGTCTATAAAATGATGTTGCATAGTTCTAAAAACATCAATACCATGGAGAGAATTGTAAATTCTGAGAGGGAGTGGATTAAAAGAAAACAAACCACAGTGTTTGTGTGGAGGGTATTTTTAGGAACTACACATTGGAAGCTATGACAATAGCACAAGCAAAGCAAAGTCTCAAAAATTAATAGTTATTTAGCGGCAAGCTATTTATTTGCAGATGAAAGCCCTGAAACAAGCAAAAAATAGCAACCCATCTGGCAGATGGTGGATAAAGGCTGATGCCTGTGATGTCCAAAAAGGATTAATGGATAGTATGAAAGAGGAGTGGTCAGGAGATGAAGGATCAGATGGATTAAGGAATATGCATAAAGAGTACCAGTTAAGATGTAACTCTGTGAAAGAGTTTGGAAAGACTGACCAAACCATAATGGATGATCTAAGGAAAATGAAAGAATTGTTGTTGAGGGATTTGGAATTTTTGGTTGAGGGAGAAATGAAGTCAAGAGGGACACACAAGAGATTTGAATGGTAAATGCAATGCTGAAGCAACACTCATAAAATTGTCATGGGATCTGACTGGCTTTTAAAGAGCTCTTAAAACAGACTAAAAAGTTTCAGAACTCCCTTGCTCTTTTTCTAGAAGCATCTATAAAAGAGACTGTGATGAATATAATTGTGCCTTTGAAACAAGAGTTCCTCTTATATCTAAAAGGACTGTATTCAAAGAAAAGATCTGCAGCAAGCCACTTGCTGATATTTATGATAGCAGATGAGTGCAGAAACCAAAAGCCTTATGCTGTTCCTGTACAATTCATGTAATAAAAGTCTATCACAGATTCAAAATTAGGAGAATTGGAATTGGAGGTTGAATGTACAATGAAGAGCTTACGCTACACAACTATGCATCACATGCTTCGTTGCACCAACATGTATTACCATATTATCGCATGGACCTTTGTATACTTTACACCTTTACACACCTTGTACATATTTAGTGATTGCAAGCCTTAAATATTCAGTTTTGGACATGTAACAGAGATGTTAGCACTAAGGGATGGTTGTTGTAGGTAAACTGTTTTTATACATTTTTTTATTGCAATCTTTCATACATTTTGTCCATTCTTTATAATAATGCTGTTTTACACTGTATGCCTTATCAACCAAAAACATCCAAACAAATTCAAAACATAATTATCTAGAAGGAATGTTTGAATTGACAATATTACAAATCATGGCACAAGGGATCTCAACTCTAATGAAAATTAACAATAATTAATTATGCTTGAATTTTGAATATTGGTACTGCAAGCATTAATTCATTATTCTCTTATTTACAGGATTTCAACAGATGG